ACAAGAAACTGAGCGATACCCTGTGGCCGCTGCCAACACGGAGGGCTTCATTCCTGGCGAATGTATCTGACCAGCGGCCCTTTCCACACTGCAGATTTCCCTAGATCGTAAGAAAGTGTCCGAACCCTGGTGCCATAAGTGTGAGCCGCAAACCTCCATGCCGAGGCACAGGCAAGAACAGCCATCGACGCTGGGCCGGGACCAGGGATCCAGGCACTCAGAGACAGCAGCTCGGATCGTTTGAAAGTGCTCGGGGGCAGCCGAAGCAACTTATGAACAAGCCGGGGCTCCTTGGAGAGGAGGGAAGGGGGGAGGGGAAAGAACTGACAGAGGCAGGAGAGGACGGAGAGGATCGAGGAATTGTAGGAGCGGCAAGAGGCCTCCGACGGCGACCGAGTTGCTGCAACAAGACGGGTCCAGAAGCACAGTTTTGATGCCGCCGCCTCCCACTGCGCCTCGAGGGTGGCAGCAGGACCAAACAGGATGCCGAGATACTTGGCGAGGCCAGCGATGGCGAAGGAGGAGAAGGGGGGAGCGATAGCAGAGAGGAGAGCAGTGAGAGCAGAAACAACAGCGGCACAACATACGGTCCACAGTGGGACCACCGCGCATGTTCGGGGCTGCAGACAGAGGCATGCAAGGCGGCGCGCAGCCCGGAACACGGGCTCAAGCCGGGCAGCCTGGCTCAGACAAGGCAGAACAACACCAACATCGTCGGCACACGCCCCAGCATCCAGATGATCATCCGGCGGTTCACTGGTGTCGATGCCCTCGGAGATGTGGTGCAGGAAGGCGTCGAAGCACAATGCCCACAGAGTTCCGGACAGAGGGCACCCCTGAGCAACTTCAGCAAAAACCTGGAATAAGTAGCGAAGTTCGTCACCAAACCAAGCGCTGACCTGCAAGTCGTGGTACAAAGCCCAGATAGCGCAAAAGTAGCCAGCCGGCAAAGAATGGTGGAGCAAGACGGCTGCCATCCACTGCCAATTCATGGATGGGAAAGCGGCCTGCACGTCGTACGAGATGAAGCAGGGCATGCGGTCAGCGGCATCCTCGTGTCCTCCCTCCCTTCTGGCAGCGGCGTCCAAGTCCACAATGCGTGAAGTAAATTGGCGATCGCGTAGAAAACCTTTTTGTGAGCGATGGCAACTCCGTTCAGCAACATGTCGAAGGTAAGAATTGATCGTAAGGTAAGAATTGATCGTAGATGCCACGGCCTTCGAGTCGCTGCTCTTTAGAGTGAGCGGCCGCAGAACGTCAGGGGAGCGCACCACATCCACCAAATCCTCAGGTTGTGCGTCCTTCGGAATGAAGCACATCAAAGAATGGTTGAAGCCTGGCGGCGATCCCCGGCCGCTGAAGATGTCTGATACTATCAAATACAAAGCTTCAACTGCATCCTCGTTCGCCAGCCAAGCGCGATACGGGAGGCGAGGCGGAGGAGGAGGAGGAGGAGGAGGAGGAGGAGGAGGGAGGATGGGCAAGAGGAGAGGCACACCACCCTGAGCAAGCGTCCCCGGCAGGGAGGCCCACGCTCTGCGATCACGGCAAGTCGACGGGGCCCAAGGAGACGCCCTTTGTCGAGACCCCGCACCGCGCGATCGGGGGACAATGCGTCGGCGGGCTATGAGCTATAAGCCGCTCAGCTCGCCCCAGCGATAAAATTACAACATCGTAAAAATTCACGCCAGGAGCCCTAGACCCCCACCTTCCTGCTTCATTTTTTCAAGCCGGATCGATCTGTGAGGGTCCCGGGGCCCGAAACCCGGCGAGAACGCCCGGGGTGAAAAAATGCGACGTCGGGATCTGAGGGATGAGCCGCCCAGCTCGCCCCAGACCAGCGAGGCCGCCCTGCTGCTGTGAGGAGCCCCAGCAGCCGCCAGCGCAGCGGGCGGCGCCCGTGCCTCGCCAGGCGAGCGCGGCCCGCCAACACAAAGGCCCCGGCCGCCGCCCCTCGCGCAAGGCCCTCGGTGTGCCCGGCCAGCGGCTCACGCGAAGGGCGCCGCCGGGCAACCCCAGGGATCCGACGCCCCCAAAACGCCGGGCCACGAGACCGTCACAGAACGACTCGGGAGGAGAAAATGGCCCCGGGGAAGTGGTCCAGACCTCTGGGGCCCACACATCAAAAAAGTTGGAGCAGCCAGATGTCTGGGTGTCTGGGACTGGCATGTGTCCTAGCCCCGCGATCGCGGTGCACCCTGCCAGCGGATGCCTCGCCCGCGCGGCGGGCTCCACGTCGCTGCCTCCCCAGTGCCCCTTCACGCGCGCGGTGCGTGCACCAGCGCCGCGCATGAGAGCCCGAGAAACCGGACCTTCGCGGCAAGCTCTCCCAGGCTGTCCGCGTCCACGAGCACCCAATCGGCTAGAGCAGGCGTGGGCGCCCACTCCGCCACCAGGGCAGCACGCAGCGCCTCAGAGCTCAGGCACCGGGTCACCAGGTGTCGCAGGCCTGCTGCTTCGCGCCCGCACAGGGCGCAAGTAATCGGCATGCGGGCGGCCGACCTGCCCCAGATCGCTATTGGCAGCTCGGACGTCACCCGCGCCAGGCACCAGGCGCGGTGGAACCGCCACGGTCTGCCCCGGGAGGCCTTCCGAAGGTCCGCTGGCCACGCCTGCCGCAGTAGGGGCACGTTTGCCATTGGCAGCAGCCTCGTATCGTTCAGTCCGACCAGCTGCTCGCAAAACCACCTCCGCTCCACCTCGCGAGCGCTGCAGCCGCTGGGGATAACAAGGAACCGCGCCCATCCGTGATGCGGCGAGCCACCGGTCCGTCCTCCGCCGCGGTCATGAGCGTTTCCAGCGGCGGCCCCACCCCATAAGCTGCGCCACTGCCGCCGCGTCCTGGAGCCAGGTGCCCCCGCCACGCGCGAGCGCTGCCTGGATGGTCGGCGCGATGGGTTATCCCCCCGGGACCGCCATCAGCCGAGCCCATCCCAAGATGATGCGCTGGGCAACTTTGGGGGCCACCCTCGTCAGTAGGCACGCCTCCAGGAAAACCCAGAGATAGCCCCCGTCGCCAAAGGAAGTGCCAGGAAGGAGCCCAAGGAAAGCTTTCGCTACATCGTAATACGCGCGGTTCAGCTGCGCCGCGCCCGCCTTCTAGCCGCGCGCGTGGCTCGCCGGCAACTCAGTACAGCACAACTTTGCGGATTCCACGCGGGCTGGAGCCTGGCCGACAACCGTGGGGAGGCCGAGCCCCCAGTCCGTCACAGGGCAGCCGTCAGCCGCCGCGCGCCGTTCCGCAACACGGCACAGGCGCGGTTCGGAAGCGGCCATATCAGCGTCCACGGGGATGCCCAGGGCCTCCCGCCGGCTGACGGCACGGACCACGTGGCCCCCCGACGTGGCCGCCACGGCTGACGTCCACGGCGCGGCGCGCCCACCACCAAAGCCGCCGGGCCGCTGCCTGCCGCCCGTGAAGCGATGGCGGTACGTGGCGCGGAATGCGTCGAGGCTGGCATTCGCGCGAATCGGGCTGGTCTCGTCGGACTGCAGGCGTCTTCCGTGGTGCCGAATGCAGTCAACCCGTATAATGAGGATGCGCGGTAAGGATGCAAGGGCCTTGGAAGGCCATGCTGACGTTCTTCGCACGAGGTCGGCCAGCGAGAGTCGCGAGGGATTGGCCGAAGGGGCAAAGATGCACGAGTCAGCCTTGGAGAGTCGCTCATCCTTACTACGCGGGTCGACTGTACACCCAATCCTCCGACGTCGTACAAGCATCGGGAAAATCGGCGGCGGAGGCAGCGCCACGGACCCCGTCCTGATACACACGGCACTTCCCGCGCAGAGCCGAGTCCGAAAGGCCCAAGCGACTCGAAGCGGGCACGTCTCCAGAGCACGCTGGGCGGCCGACGGCCGCCGTTGCCTTGAGCAGTCTGACCTGAATGCAAGAAGAACGCCACCGCTCCACACAGGGCTGAAGCAAAATCTACCGCTTGTGTCCATTCTGTATACTTTCCAGACAGCGCTAATAACTCGCCTACCGACAAGGGTACTTTTGAACTTATATTCGGCGCCTCTTTGAGCACTCAAACTTATCCTAATGTGCGCTGTTGTTCGCCACCCAAAAACGAATTAACAGTTGTGATCGTCCCCATCTTTTGTTGAGGAAGAGGACACCGAGAGGACAGAAAGCAAACACACGACAAACGCCCCGCTCGTCAACGTGAAGTGCGGCCGATCCTCTACCTTCCCCGTCCTCGGCATCCAAATCCGCCGATCTCCGTTTGCCAGGGGCGAGAGCCCGCGAGAAATTCGGCTCTCCCAAGAGAGACGTGTAAGAGGAGGGCAGGAAAAAGAGGAGGGGAGAAGAAGGAATGAAAGAGGGAGGATGAAAACTGTAACTGAGAGAGAAAGAGAGAAAGAGAGAGACAACGAGAGAGGAGGGAGGGGGGAGGGAGGGGAGCAGTAGGGGGAGAAGGAGGAGCAGGATGAACATAATGCAGAGTACGGTTGCTGGTGGAAGGTGGGGCTCTTGGGGGAAATACTCACTTGCCCGCACAGCTGCCGTTACCCGTGCCCCTGATGAGGCCCCCCCTCTTGCGCCGCCACTCCGATGTGCTCAAACACCCTGCACGGCTGCCCGAGTGCGCTCGGCTTCTGGACGAACAGAAAGCAACATAAACATGAACTTTCGTAGGTCCGCGCGCATTCCTTGGATCGGCGTTGGGCCCCCCTCCCTGGCGCGCGGAGCGCGCCTGGGGCGGCGCCGCCAGGCGGGCCCCAGCGCCGATCCAAGCAACCTGCGCGGACCGTCGAAGGTGTATGTTTATGTAGGTGTTTCTTCTTCGAGCTTCGCATCCGTTTTCATGTAAGTGCTCGCGCGCGTGCAGTGGACGACGGGGAAAAAAGGCAGTACCACAATCCCCGGGGGTAGCCCCAGGCGCCTCCGTTCCGCATCGACCCGTCGCGGCAACACCGCACGGGCGAGCGAGAAAAACACACACACATGGAAGGAAAGACAATTACCCCAGTGCGACCCTACCTAGAAGTTGGAGCCCCTAGGAAAGCAGCATTAGTTGCTATGCTATGCTATGCTATGCTGCGCTATGCTATGCTACGCTATGCTATGCTATGCTATGCTATGCTATGCCATGCTGCGCTGTGCTAAGCTATGCTATGCTATGCTATGCTAAGCTGCGCTATGTTATGCTACGCTATGCTATGCTATGCTGCGCTATGATATACTATGCTATGCTATGCTATGCTATGCTTGGTCATGTTATGCTATGCCATGCTATGCGAATGCAGCGCTGCGCTATGCTAAGCTAACCCTCTAGGCAGAGCCTAGGTAGGGAATTACACCTATGCGAATTACCCGAACAGAAAACTAAACTGGCAACGCGGTTGGCACACACGAGCGCCACAAAATACACCCACAGATCCGGGGCAGGAGGACCAGGAGCTGGATGACGGTGAGGATGACGTCGCCCACGGATCCGTTTTTTTGTTTGCTCTAGGCGGGGGGGACGACGACGACGACGACGACGACGACGACGACGACGACGACGACGACGACGACCGACTACGATGCTATGCTATGCTATGCTGCGCTATGCTATGCTATGCTGGGCTATGTTATGATATGCTGTGCTGCGCTATGCTACGCTATGCTATGCTATGCTGTGTTCTGCTATGCTAAGGCTCAGCGAAGCTAAGATGAAGATAAACTAAGCTAAGATAAACCTGAGCTAAGATGAAGCTAAGCTAAGCTAAGATGAAATAGGCTAAGCTGAGATGAGATAAGCAACGCTAAGTTAAGGGGACGTGGCTGGGGGAACCGCGGGGCAGATACTGGGGGAACCGCCCGGGGCGCTTTCCACTGCCCGGCCCCTTTAAGCCCAGAGTGTAAGAACCCTTCTAGGCAGAGCCTACGTAGGGAATAAATGAATCTTTCGCGAGATGGCATGGCGACCTTACGCGGGGGCTTACGCGGGCCGCTCACATGGAGGAAACAAATTCTGGTCATGACCAAGACTGAACGCGGAAACATCGGTGCCGATCTCGGTCACCGCTCACTTTGGCCACCCTCGGTTCGTGGATCATGTCCTCGCGAAGCGGCGACGGCCAGCATGGGCCGCGAAAAAGATCGGCGTCGACGAGACCCTGCGACATCTTGGTCATGGTCAGCCTTGTTTGGCTCCGGGCGCAGGCCCCGAGGCCCGCACCTCTGACCTCCCAGGGAGGCGCTTGCCACGCAGTTCTGGCAGGCAGGGCAGAGCAAGAGAGCCTTGACATCGCACCGAGATCCCGCGACATCTTGGTCATAGCCAGCATGCTGCTTCCTTCGCCCACACGGAGAGCTGGAGAGAGAGAGAGAGAGAGGAGCGCAGCAGGCTGGGCGGAGCTCCGCCTCGGCCGCGGTGGGCGGGCACAGTTGCAGTGGATGCCTTCCAAATGGGGTCCGAGCTGAGTTGACGTTAGACACGCTAGAGATTTGTTGCTCGGTTGCCCCTTTTTGTTGTCGGTTTTCGGTGGCCAACCAGTACAGGAAAAAACAGACGACAACCACAACCTTACAACATCAAAAATACAACACGGAACCGACCAGAAAAAAACGCGAACGAGAATCCCAAAGCGGAAAACAAGACATCACCCAAATGGAACAAAACCTATAAAACACAGATCTTGAGAGCGCAAACGCATCGTTTTTCACATAAGTTGAAGGTCCGAGTAGATGGGGTCGGAGATTCGCGCCGCATCGCCGATGCACCAGCGAGGCATCGACGTCGGCGACGCATCGGCGACGTCGGTATGGAGGATCTCGGGCTCCACATCGAACCAGATCGCCGATGCATCGGCGATACAGCACGATCCTCCGACCTCATCTGCTCGGGCTCCATTTCGGAGGCCTGAACACATGGCGCACGCTGCCCTCAACTCGCCTGGTCAAAAATCATGGCAGTACTGGGCTGGGTCCATGAGCTGGACGACGCGGACCTTGTTGTCGAACTTGGCTCTCCATTGGAAGATGGTCTCGGCCTTGTAGTTGAAGGGCGCCCCCAGCAGGTTGACGCCGTGGAACTCGCCGAATCTGGTGATGTCCCTGTTTCGCTTGTCACGCTTCCTCGAGTCGTGGACGAACATCACATACTTGTACTTTGGCGGGCACTGTATCACCGTAGAGTTGACAAACGCCGCGATGTCCGCGTTGGGAAAATGGATGATCGTGTCCTTGGTGAACAAGAGGTCCGCCTTGGGCATCGTGGAGTCGTCCAGCATGTCGCCCTTCCGGAAGGTCATCTTGTGCAACCCAATGTCCGCTATGCCCCTCTGCTTGACGTAGTCCCTGTCGGCCTCAATCACGCTCTCGAGCAGGTCGATGCCCGTGTAGTCGATCTGAGGCCACGGCACGAAGCGCTGCCACCCAGAAGGCCAGTGGCCCGCGCTCACCTCCACCATGGACTGCACCTCCTTGTGGTCGTCCAACCACTTGAGGAAAAACTCCACGAACGGCTTGCACACCTCCGGCCTGGAGCCCGGCCCAGAAAGCGACGAGTTGTCCCACTCGCCGCTTGAGAGCTCGGCAAACCGCTTCTCCCCCGCGGGGGTCATGCGCCTGCGAGGGGCAGCGTTACAGTCGATATCGACAATAATGACGCCAGGTGAGGATGCAAAACAGCGGACGCCCTTGGACGTCGAAAATTGCCAAGGATTGGCCAAAGAGGCGAAAATGCAAGGGTGCCCTTGCGAAAGTACCGCGTAATTGCCTTGGTCTTTGAATGTAAAGGAGGACCAGCTTCGGGAGGGGGGGGACAATCGGCGACACATTGCCGCCGATAGATCGGCGGTAGGCCCCTGATAGCGAATCCGCGCGCTCCTAGGCGGGGTGGGGCTACCAGGTCCGCAGCGGCGATGAGTGTGCGATTGGGGGTAGATGCGTTCCTCCCTGAGCCTATCCCCCCAACGTTGCCCCTGAGCCTGCGCTGGTCCCTATGGAGCTCCGTCTGGACCGAAAGGGCGCCGGCAAGGACGGGCAGCGAGCAGAGCGCACAGACCAGCGCGGGCATCTCTGCTCTGGACTGTACGCGCTATCTTTGATGTGGAGTTTGTGCGAAATATAAATGGAGTCCCTGAGCCAGATTGGCTCTGCAGCGGAGGCGGAAGATAAGGGAGCAGAAGCGCACCCCCACCCCCACCTGGCCCCGCTCCCCAGCGTGGGGAGGGGAGGCCGGGTGGGGGTGAGGTATGCGCTTGTTTTGCGTTTTCTTGCGAGACATCTTTACACTTGGGAATTGAACTGTTTTGGCCCAGCCCCCAGAGAGGGGAGTGGGGCCTGGGAAGATGTCAACCCATACACCTACACTGATCCTGGCAAGACCCGTCAGGGGCAGCACAGGATCAGTGTGGTCGCCCTCCTGCCTTGGCGAGGGAAGCATATGCACCGATCATGGGCCCAGTAACGGCCTGGCCGGGGCCGGCGTAGGTTACAACGTGAGTCCTCCGAAGGCCAGGTGGGGGTGGAGGTGCGCTCTCCTCCCTCAAGGGAAGAGGAGGAGGAGGAGGAGGAGGAGGAGGAGGAGGAGGAGGAGGAGGAGGAGGACAAGGAGGAAGAGGAGGAGGACAAGGAGGAAGAGGAGGAGGAGGAGGAGGAGGAGGAGGAAGAGGAGGGGCAGAGGAGGAGGAGGAGGACCAGTGGAAACCCAAGAATCATCAACGATGTTGGAATTTACCATCCCTCCAAGCTCGCTCTTCATAGGCCCCTACAACGGTTCATGTCCATTGAAGGAACTGCCTGGCTGGAAGACAACAGTTTGAAAATCCTGAAGCGTGCCAAAACATTGTTCTCGGGATGTCAACGCCACGTATCAACCGGACTTCTACGTCTTGACGATCCAGAATCGTGCCAGAACGCCTTTTTGGGACTTCAAGACAGCGAATCCACAGAACTGTTGCGCCCGCGTAATCCTGAATCCTTCCAAAACGCCATTTCTGGTACGCTGATCATGGGGATTATCTATATTTACATATATATATATATATATATATATATATATATATATATAAGAATGCGCGCGTCGCTGAAGCGAGAACCACATTTTGAAAAGGAGCCGCCTTCAATCCGCCAAACGATTGCAAATGTTTAAAACGAATGCGCGCGGCGCGAAGGCGAGAGCCACAGCTTGAAAACCACACGCCCTCAATCCGTGAAGCTTTTGCACATGTTTAAAACGATTGGATTGTGCGCGGCACCAAAGCGAGAGTAACATTTTGAAAACCACCCGCCCTCAATCCGTGAAGCTCTCGAAAATGGAATAAAATGTGCGCGGCGCTAAGGCGAGAGCCACATGTTGAAAACCACCCGCCCTCAATCCGCGAAGCTTTTGCAAATGTTTAAAGCGAATGTGCGCGGCGCCAAGGCGAAAGCCACATGTTGAAAACCACCCGGCCTCCATCTGTGAAGCTGCTTTCACTTCTTAAGCTTCAGAATCACAAATAATGAGGAAGTCTCAAGCGAAACGCCCGGCCTGCCCTTAAAAACTGGCCTCGGGGTGCGACAGGGGGAAATTCTATATAGGGAGAAGGAATGGAGGAGGAGGAGGAGCGGGAGAAGGAGGAACGGGAGGAGGAGGAGGACCTGCCCTGGACCAAACGAGCAATCCTGATCAGGGAAGGCCCATCTCACACCGATGGAAAAAAACAAATCGCATTTCGGGGCAATCCTCGGGACAAACGAGACAGGACACTGACCCCAACTTTGGTGGGGCCAGGCGAAGGGCTGCCTCCGAGTCGTGTCGCCGTAACTGGGCATGCTTCACCAATCGGCTGGGCCGTCTTGATAGCGCATCGCTCACAGTTCTGGCAATGCAGAATTCCACTGAAGACAGACAAAACATGCGACGAGCGAGCCTTCACAGCAGCAGGGTGGACCATGACTCCGTTTCGGCCGTCATGCTGCCTCAGCACTGCGAGGCCCAGGCGTCTGCCAGGCCAGAAGCTACACACCTGGCCCCTCGTCGCCTCGAACTTCGCATCACAGATGGCGCGAGAAAACCTGGCGCCCACAAGACGCGGGGAATGACCAGCACAAGTGAGCCTCTCCTTCCGAATGGAGTCAAAGGGGAGGGGGGGGGGTCGCCGCAACCCCCCCCCCCCCCCCCCCCGCACTGGGTCAGACTTCAGCCCCTGACAGGTTAACCAAACTTTCACGGTGACCGCTGGAATCCACTGTAGAAACCGGGCAGTCGCATCATCTAGTTCACTCGGGGCCTCCACATTTTCGCGAAGGGTCTCTACTGGGGCGGCGGCCACCCCGGCGAAAAATGCGCACAACTAAATAGGAAGCAACTCGGCCTCAAAGCGCCCCAAGCATGCCTCAAGGGCCAGCTGTCAATGGTCTTGGCCCACAGACCCGCGACGCGCCCATCGCGGACATCCAACGATTCCCAGATCTGAACCCACAGATCCAACATCGGGGACGTCCGCGCCACGGGCAATCGGCCGCGTCTAAGGCCCAGGCCGAGAGGGAGGCATTCAATCACTATTTGACACCACAAATCCATTGAAGCGTCTCAGAAACATAACAAACACGTACAGCGCAGAGTGCAGGCTCGACTCAGCCCGAGTCGGTCAGGCAACACATAACACAGCATCACACGTAAGCTCGAAACCGTCATCATTTTCGTCGTCAAGCCGTACTACCGACCAACCGCAGCGATGCAACCTGTGATCCCTGACACGCACTCACCCTGATCCATCCAGCCCGCACTTGATCCAATTCGCAATACTATCATCAAGGAGCAAACCGCAGGGCTGAACAATGCTGCGCGTCGGAGTCAATGGGCCGACGGCAGCAGCGATGGTCGGGGCACCTCGATTCCGGAAGGCAAATCCGCCACGATCATCGCGCAGGGCCGTCGCAGCGAACCCTTGGGACCTGAGCGCATGAACGGGGCCCGGGGCATCCGTGCGCGAGCATCCCCGGACTCGGCGGAGAGGGGTTTCCCTCTCGACCCCGCTCTTCGGACACAGTCCGTTGGCTTGGGATCATGCGCGCTGCGACCGAGCCTGAAGCCGCGTGGCGCCAGGCGCCAGTGACAGCACAACAGCGAAGAGCAGCTTCCGAATGCCTCCCCTCCGTAACCGTGCTCTTCCCCCTCCTCTTGAAGACCCTTGCGCCCGCTCCTCCTTCAAGCCAGCGCCGCGCAAGTGAGCGGGGGCCTTGCTCCATATCACGCGGTTTACAATGCTCTGCGCAGCGGCGGAGAGGCGACGCGAGAAATCCTGATCTCCAAAGCAAAGCTTGCCCGCAGGACAAGGCCAAGAAGCTGCAGCGCCAGGGGTCCGCTCAAGGTCGCCAATGGCGCAGCCCGCGGGGGCAATGGGTCCTTTCACAGCACCCCAGCGCCTCAAGTCGATCGCCCCGCTTATCCCATGCGCGTCGAACACCGAGCTTCTGGCCAGTAAGGAGAGCGCGCCAAGTATCAGCAATGGCCCGGGGCTGCCCCCCCCCCCCCCACCCCCCTCATGCGACAAGCAAAGTCGCCAGACAAATCATCATTGACAACCAAGGCAGTGATTGTGCAAGCCCTCGAACTACAATTGCCAGAACAGTAGGCCGCCTGGGAGCGAAAGCTCTGACCGTCGGCCATCGCGAGGCCAGTGACTGGATGGCTCCATGATCCAACCGAAGGCACTCCAGGTTTATGACCTTGCGAAATTGCCCACAGCTCTACGCCGGCAGAGCAGTATCTGCCATGCGCGCCTCTCCTTCCCCGCCGCTGCCGCGGCCCCAAGTCCTGAATCCGAGGCGCGACCTGGACAGAAGCGCGCCCCCCCGCCCCCCCTTAAAAGATGCGCCAGGGCCGCGAGCAAGCGAGGCTGAAGATGCAACGCCATCAGACTTCGCAGAGACAGTGCAACCGAGGGGCTGCACGTTCGAGACAAAAGCAGCAGCGGCACCTGGAATGGCAGACAGAATGCGATGACGGATGCCCTGATTTGACTGCGCCAGATCGCCGGCATACGATCTGATGCTAACCATGGGCAACTTGCGATGAGCATGATCGAGAACCTCATGCAGATGCGCTTTCACCTGCGGCATCGACTGGGCACCCCCTGCGAGGGTCGAGCGGCCCGCGGGGGCGACCTGTGCATATCCCAGTGCAGAGCAGCTGACTCGAAACCAAGCGACCCTGCGACCCCGCGGCACAACTTGCGGGGCAACGCGGCCTGAAGGGCCGACGACCCACGCGCGGCTGAGTCCCAGAGGTCGGCGGGCGCAAGGCCCCGTGCATCTATCCTGGCACCGCGCAGACCGGCGCGCGCGATACACGGTGGATCGCTCAGATATAGCACGCTCATCCTTCACCGACTCGAGGGGCAATGCCATGACATTCAGAAATGCTACTGCGGGAGATAGCACCAGGCGAAAACAAAGCTTGGCCAGGGAAGCCCAGAAACGCCCGCAGAGACCATTGGTCGACCCCCAAAGCGGCAGAGGCATAATAATGCATCGCAAACTGCGCCGCGTCCATCGGGGCGAAATCGGGAATCTCCAGAAGCGCCGTTTTCCTTGGGCACACAACTCACCTAGCGCGTCGTCGTTCAAGATGACCAGATGGCCAGGAGGCGAAGACCACATCTTGCCCCAGAACGCATGGCGATGTCCAATCGTGCCCTCGGGGGTCTGCCGGTCACCATGGGGGGGGGGGGGGGGCGTGGCTGGGCGGGCGGCCGGGGGCAGGGCGCGGGGGGGGGCGGGCGCAGACTTCGTGCCCAGACTTCGGCCAACCGCGTCCTTTAAGTCATTTAAGTCCACCCCCAGGGGGCGCATTACGGAGCCGCTTCTTGACTCTCTCTTTCCTGGCAGTTCGAACTGAGGAAACAGCGGCCTTGCGAACTTCGCCAGCGCGAGCAATCCATCGACGCGCGAGGTCAGGTGCGCGTGGGGGATCAAACAGATCATCCTGCCATCGCTTAGCGCGCTCTGGAGTCTGCAGCAGCTCGACGCGCGCACAAACGCTGCCGACGTAAGATGGCGACAAAGACTGCGACCGATTGGCAGGTTCAGGCTGGGGCCCCCGCCGCGCTGCGTACCATAATTCACGGGGCCTAGGATGCGCCGTGAACCAGAGACGGAGGCAAGGCGCTTTGAAGGCTTGCTCGTCGGGCCCGCGCCTCCGAATGGGCCCGGACGGGGCGGCGCGCAGCGCCGCCGCGCCCCGGGCCGCGCTCGATCCCCTCCAGAGAAGCGCAACCCTGGAAGCATATATCACCTCAGAAACACTAGACCACGCCGCGCAATCCGACGGCGGGATGCCAGCGCGAGCCGCGGCCAGTCAGCCCGCATAATGGGCGCGCGAAAAGGATGCAGGGGCCCCCGAAAGGCCACGCCCACAATTTGCGACAGGGGGCGCGGCCGGCGGAAGCGGCCGAGGATGGGCCGAGGTGGGGGAGTGCAAGGGGGCCCTTTGAAAAGGGCCCGCGACTCGAAGACGCGCGCGCGTCTTGAACTGCGAGTCGGGGATGGCCCGCGCCCGCGCGTGGGGGCCATGCCCGTCGAGCAAACTGCGCAATCAGTCATGGCTCGCCCGGCGCTGCACTTGACCTCGACATAGCTACGGGCCGCTGCCCTCGCGCGGGCCAGGCCCAGGGCGCCGCGCTCGCCCGGGGGCCCAGGGGGCATGTTGCAGCCCCCGTGGAGGACCCGCGGGGCGGGGCGCTCGCGAAATCCGAAACCTGCTTCAGACGATCAAGGTTCCCACCGAGGGCCCCAGGGGGCGCCGCCGAATACCTGCGGCGCGCCAACAACAATATGAAAACTGCTCAACTCTTGCCCCGTGGAAAACCAGCACGCCCCAGAACCAACCTGGGCCAGCTGGGGAACATCCCAATGAAAACGCCGCAACTGCAAACCTCTTTGGACAAAGCGCGCCGCGCCTCCATGGGCGCCGCCTCCAGGATGCCCCGTGGCACCCTTGAAACGCAACAAGCCCCGACCCGAGGCTCGAACGCACCCCTTGGCCTTCGCGACCTCTCGGAACACTCCGCGACGAACGCCGCGCCCGCTTCCGAAAAGCGAGTTTTCAATGGCCCCTTAGCGGCGCCAGACCAGATCGCAATGCGCACGAGCAGGAGCACTAGATCAGAGCATCGGGAACGATCGCGTCCCAGCTTGGGGCGCATGTTAGCGTTTAAAACCTTGCGCATGGCTGGCTGGGCCTGAAGGCGCCTCGGGAATGGCGGAGAGATGGGCGGCTGCCGCCTGGCCGAGAGCCGCGGCAGCGTGGGCGCTCTGATGCGGCGCAAGACGCCTGGCCTTCTTGGCAGCGCGCTGCGCTGCCTGCTTACTCACCAGCTCTCCGTAGCGCTGCGAGGCTTGGCCATCGAGGCCCACGCCTTCGGCAGCACGCTTGCGCAACATCTTGAGCTCTCCAGGTTCAGTTTCGGGGCGGTGAGCACCGCCTGCACCACTCCCCACGTCAGACATGTCAACCTCCTCCGCCCGCTGCGAGATTGCGACCTTTCACAGATGCTGCCTACGGGCGGTGGCGCGGTTGAACTTCTGCACGAACTGGTCCAGTTCTCCTTCAGCGATTTCATGAAGGTTTTCCTGTGCCCAATGCCAGGAAATGCCCCCAAGGTCGACGGAACTGGGCTGCGGTGAACCGTGGGGCGCGGTGGGGCACCTTCCGCGCCTGCGGCGGCATCTGCACCACCCGCGGGAGGCGCCGCACCTGCAGGGGGAGGTTCGCCAGCGGCGCGCTTGCGCCGCGGGGGCGGGGGCCCTCAGCGCCCGCACCCTCCACCGCGGCATTGCCGCCGCCGCCCTCAGCCCGAAAGGCCTCGCGAGCTGCCTGCTCCCGGGCCTGTCAAGCTGCGCCGTTCGCAGCCTCCACCTCAGCACGAGCGCCATCACGAAACTTCGTCTCGTCCAAGTTTTCTTTGTACTCCACGGCCTCCTTGACCTCGTCGGAGACGAGGGAATGCCACCCCGTAGCCTCAGCATGGGCACGTTCAGCACGCTCGGCCGCATCACGGGCCTTGACCAGGGAGGCC